ATTTCCTTAAATGCTTGCACTCCTAATAAGCTACACCCAAGACCCAAATCCCTCAATGGAGAAGAAAAGGCCAGTTGGAGGTCCTTCATAACAACAACAAAAAAAGTCCTAAGTGCAATGAAGTTCTGGGTTGGATGGAACGGGAACCCCAGTTTTCATGAGGTGGCCTGACCAAGTTCTGAGATGTCATCTGGAGCATGGAGCAAGGAACATCTTTTTTGATTTGCGTCCAGCTCCTCTGTGGTGGTTTCTCGATGGATTGTTTGGGCTCCTCTGGAGCAAGTCCTTCAATCTAATACATGGGGAAGGGAGTGAATGAGGCAGCTTCTGAAGGATCTTTCCAAGATGGTCCTGCTTGACCTCTTCTCCTGTTTCTTCCCCCACCCTCTGCAGAACCCTACTTTGTCCATGCTGTGGAGTGGAAGAACCACGTCTACTTCTTCTTCAGAGAGATAGCGATGGAGTTCAACTACTTGGAGAAGGTGAGTCCAACCAGCGCTGCCCAACTGTGATGGAATGGAATTATGAAGGCCAGGCTCAGGGAGATAAGCGTTTTCTTAGTTCACCGCAAGAGCGTGGGAACTTCAAGAGGATGAGACTGGCACCTCCCTGAGGAATTCACAATGTTGTGGCTGCCCTTACTTGGGAGTGGGGTTTCAGTCTGGGAAAAATCTTGCTAGAGGTTGCAGCTAATAAACATAGCTGGAGTGAATTTACATGGTCTCTTGGGGTTCCTTGGGCTAGGCCTGACACCAACGAACTCATGGTTGGGTGATGGGGCCAGCTAGACTTTGCGTTGTCCTCAGGAGCTGCTGGGTGCTGAGCCTCCGAATCACCATACGTGGTCTTCCACCATGCTAAATGCCGTAGTTGCGTCGCTCCTGAACTTTGTGAGAATGCGAAAGAAGTGATTGGTGATATCCTATCAATATCAAGTTTAGAGTTTTGTAGAGATTTCTACTTACTTCTTAGGAGGACATAACGGACTTTGTTCTGGACGGTGAACGAGTGAACAGAAAATGAATTTCAAGCTGTACGATCCTTGTAAACTCTTTATCTATTTGCTGATATTTTATTCTTTACCCACTACGTCTCCTCCTCTTTTTTTATATAGCTATTGATTCGGTTTCTTTAAATGTCTTGATAAATAAACTATTTAAAAAGAAGAAGGTAGACCATCCGCTGGAGACCCATCGGCTTATACTGTAACGGAATGCAGTATAATGTAATACAATATGTTATTCTATCACATCAAACATTACATTACATTGGGTTATGTATTACGATGTCGTTCTATCATGTTTCCTATTATACGAATGTAGTAATGAAACCAAAAGTGAAATGCTTGGTTTGATGCACTGCAAACGTTACCAAAACCCGTAGGGTGGAGGGTATTTCGTCTAGGACCGGAAGGCCTGGCGCAATATGGTTCGTGGGGTCACGGAGAGTCGGACACGACTTAACGACTGAACAACAACAACAATATATGCGTCTAAAAACTGAGCGCCTCTTTTGCACTGACTTACGGCCTACGGACTTGTCATGGTCCATCACGTCGGTTCTGACTTCTGGCGACTGCCTGGACAAGTCCCTGCAGTTTTCTTGGCAAGATTTTGGAATTAGTTTGCCTTTGTCTTCTTCCTAGGGCTGAGAGGGAGCGGCTGGCCCAAGGTCACCCCGCTGGCTTTGCGCCCAAGGCAGGACTAGAACTCAGAGCCTCCCGGTTTCTAGCCCAGTGCCTTTAACCACTGGGCCAAGCCAGCTGTTTTGTCCAAACTCAGCTACCCACAAATGATGAAATAACTTCTAAGGAGGTCTCAGGGACTCAGCCGTGGGGCATTTTATTCTAATAATAACATCAAATAAACACGTTGAGTGACAGCCGCTTCTACACGACGGATAACCTGTCATGTTTTCATCTGCTCCTGCCTTCCCCAGTTCGCTGCGCAGCTAGTTCAGAGAGTTTTAAGCTATATATATCCCTTCTCTGGAATGAAAAGAAAATACTGGAGCAGATGCAAAGAGGATGTTCTTTTAGAACAGTCCTGCTTATTGCCGAAATAGAACAAAATTGCAGACAAAATCAAATCATCTCCATTATCCATTGAATTTCTTGCTCCTAGCTTGATTTCACCCAAACAACGTAGTGGTGAAGAAGCTGGACTAGAAACCGGGAGACTGTGAGTTCCCGTCTTCCCTAAAGGGAAAGGCCCCCCTTCTTCTCAGCCCAACCTACCTCACAAGGTTGTTGTTTTGGGAAAAATAGGAGGAGGGAGCATTAGGTATGGGGCCTGGAGTTGCACAAAAGACAGGCGGGAGATAAATCTAATCAATAAAATAAACAATATTGTTCTGTGGCAAATCTAGTTTCTTCTCCAAACTAGCAAAAGGAAGTAGGTGTCAGAAAACACACATAGGCACACAAAAATAGACAGAGATAAAAATGTATAATAGATAAATAGATATATATAAAATGTATGATGATAGATAGATAGACAGACAGACAGATAGACAGATGATGGATGGATGGATAAATGGATGGATGGATGGATGGATGGATGGATGGATGGATAGATAGATAGATAGATAGA